CTTCTCTTCTCTGGTACCCTCCTTACCCCTCCCTTCCCCTCCCTTCCTCTCCCCGTTCTTTCCCGTTTATTCCCTTCCTTCCCTTGCTGGGATCTTTGGGTCTTTGCTTATATTATCTCTAGGTAGTGATAGAGTTTTGACTCCCCACTATGTCTCTAATGGATAAAGGGGAATCAAAAGAAACTCAGAAGTGTATCTTATTGTTAAAATATGAATATAAGAATTAAAAATGAGAAAGTTGTCAGGAAAATGTAAATTTAATACATGTGACTAAAAATTGCTTGGCTACTATTTTACAGAAATTGGTTGTTGAACCCCCAAAAATCATAATGTGAATTTAGATAACACACAAGATTTCTTGTTTTCCTTGTTGGATCCAATATATTGAAGTTAATGTTGAGAAAGAAATGGACACATGAAGATATATAATTAACTCAGTGATGGTGGTGAGTTAGGTGACGTTGTGCCAGTTGCAACTCGTAGTTTCCCGCTTCACAACAGAATGCAACACTTCCCAGTACCGGAAGAATCCCCAGAATTGTTATTAGGCTTGAGCCCACTGTTGCACCCACTGTGTCAGTCCAACTTATTGAGGGTCTTGCTCCTTTATGTTGACTCTTTACCAAACATAATGTCTTTTTCGCTGGAGTGGTCCCTCCTGATAACATGTACAAAGTACTTGAGATCCTCATCATCCTCATTTCAAAGCGCCATTCTGACTGTAATAATTTCAAGACGGGTAGGTTTGTTTTCTGGCAGCCCAGGGAACTTTCAGTGTTCCTTGACAACAACTTAATTGAAATGCATCAGTCACTCTCCCGTCTTCCTCATCCACTGTGCAACTTTACGTGCATATAGGGAACTTGAACATAATATGACTTGGGTGAGTTCACCTCAGTCCTCAAAGATTTTGTCCAAGGCTACATGTAGTTTGGTTTCTTGACTATTGCTTCCGTGAGAATTGATTGTGGAACCAGCTTGACATCCTTGAAATCCTTGACAACGTTAATCATTTTGCTGTTTACAATGATGTTTTCTTTGCATTGAGTTGTAATTCATACTGAAAGCTGCCGTCTTTACCCTCATCAGTAAGTGGTTTAAGTTCTCAGCATGTTCACCTACCAAGGGTGTACCATCTATGTGTCTGTCATAGGTTGGTAATGAGGATTCCTTAAATCCTGATGCCACATTATTCTTCATATAGTCCAGCGGTTCTCGACCTGTGGGTTGTGACCCCTTTGGGGGTCTAACGGCTCTTTCACAGAGGTTGCCCGATTCATAACAGTAGCAACATAACAGTTATGAAGTAGCAACAAAAATAATTTTATGGGTGGGGGTCACAACATGAGGAACTGTATTAAAGGGTCACTGCATTAGGAAAGTTGAGGACCACTGATATAGTCCATCTGAGATCATTCACTCAGCCTACAGATTGATGATGTTTTGAAGCTATGCATAAGGTTTCCAGAGGCTCATTTCTCTGAAGAACATGGCATCAGGATTGGCAAAAGACTTATTAACAATCTGGGATATGTAGACGGCACAACCTTGCTTGCTGAAAGTGAGGAAGACTTGAATTACTTTCTGATAAAGACCAAGGATTTCAGCTTTAGAATGAATTGCAACTCAATGTAAAAAAGACCAAAATTCTCACAACTGGACCAATAGATAACATCATGATAAATGGAGAGAAGGTTGAAATTGTCAAGAATTATGGCTCTCTTTAATCTCTAATCAATGCTCATGGAAGCAGCAGTCAAGGGATCGAAAGACTAGGTGCATTTGGTAAAGCTGGCATACAAGACTTCTTTAAGGTGTTGAAAAGCAAGGATGTTACTTTGAGGACAAAGGTGTGCTTGCTCCAAGCCATGGTATTTTCAATTGCTCATATGTATGTGAAATTTGAACATTGAATAAGGAAGACCAAAGAAGAAAGGATGCTTTGAATTGTGGTGCTGGAGAAAATTATCGAAAATACCATGAACTACTGAAAGTACAAGCCAATCTGTCCTGGAAGAAATACATTCAAAGTGCACCTTAGAGCAGTGGTTCTCAACCTTTCTAATGCTGTGACCCTTTAATATAGTTTCTCATGTTGTGGTGACCCCCAACCATAAAATTATTTTCATTGCTGCTTCATAACTGGAATTTTTCTACTGTTATGAATCGGGCAACCCCTGTGAAAGGGTTGCTCAACACCCCTAAAGGGGTCACAACCCACAGGTTGAGAACCGCTGCTCTAGCGGCAAGGATGGCAAGGCTTTCTCTTAAATACTTTGGCCATATTGTCAAAAGAAACTAATCCCTGAAGAATAATATCATGTTTTATAATACAGAGGGACAGTGAAGGAAAGACAGTCCCTCGGGGAGATGGATTGACCTATGACTGCAACAATGGGCTCAAGCATAGGCACAATTTTGAGGATGGTACAGGATAGGGCAGTGTTTGGTTCTGATGTGTAGAAGGTTCCTATGGGCTGGCATGTAGGAACAACAAAATATAGATTTTTGAAATGTGGTGAAAGGATACAACCATGATGCACACTTTTTCTTGATTTTAAACCAAGCA